AGAGAGCTGGGAGGGAGGGGGTGAGAAGTCAGCAAGGGGCAGAGAAAGGCTCCACTTCCACTTTGATGTCCCAGCACAGAGCTTGAGCCAGGTCTGGGTGCGGTCCCAGCAGATGGCTTCAGCTTTCCTCCTCAACTCAAAGCTTTGGAGAGAGCCAGTTGAGCAGACTTTCCTGTCCTTTAGCCAGGATGTTTATCTACATGCCTGATCTCATGAAGCGACTGTGGGAGTCCAGTGCACATACAACTCCACTGCATACACATAAGCAACTCTTTTGTAGCCATAAGTGTGTGCCCAGTGCACATTCCTACCCCACTGCGTATAAGAAACCACACTCCCCTATCCACATAGATGTGTTTACCTATCGCACATGCAAGTAAGCACACCATTGTGGATGAATGAATTCATACACTTAGTGCCGTTTATATCTGCAGCCTGTTCACAGGTATCTCTAGACTTGACATCTAAGTGGCTTCGCATAAAACTTGCACTCACTAAGTGCACATGACACTGTCCATCACAGAGCAGGGCTAAGGCTGTCTCTGTTTCTTGTGTCAGGAGTCAGCCTGTAGGCAAGGTTGGGGAGGACGTCTAGCCACCCCCTATTCTAGAATTCTCACTCTCCCAGCAGTGTGCACTCTTCTCAGAGAGCATGGAACAGGTCCAAGGCACTTTTCTGTTAGGAGGTGTTTCTCTCTGACTTGTCATAATACCTGGCAGAAACTACCCAGGAGAGAGAAGTCCCCTAGGAAACCTGCTTCTTTCTCTCCTGGGCTAGCTAGCCTTGGGGACTCGAGCCAACAACTCTGTCTTAGTTTCTGCTTTACCAGATGACTGCAAGTAGATTATTTTGCATCAGTTTTGCAAAAAGTTGCCCTTGCTGTAATAGCAGAATGGCCCTGGGTAGGTGGGTGGGGGGAAGACTCAAGTTGTTACCACCCCTCTAAGCACAACTCCAAAGTTTTAATTCAACAGACGTTTATTAGCTGCTAAGCAGTGAGGTCGGATGATGGACAGCTAACTGTCCCAGGGCTGGGATATTTGTAGTTTATGGACAGCCTCTGAGTCTCAGAGCACACAGGGCTGGCCTTCAACCTCAGTTCTCATTACCAATCTTGCATCTTCTATAATGGATAGTGCAGTGGGACACAGGGATGAATCAGCTCCAAACTACGTGAGGAGTGAGCCTGACCGGCAGTGTTGGGATCCCGTGGGTCTCCTGGCTCCAGCAGACTCTAGGCTGGAGGCTGGGTTTTATCAGCACCCCACCACTCTAGGCACAGATCATTAGCCCCTGTCCCATCCCTGGCCCCCAATTCCCTTCCCTTTCAATGGAGTCACAGAAGTAAAGAAATGCATCCATATTCTTTCCCATGGAGAACTCTGGGCTTGCATGTGGCTTGGAATCCAAGTGGGACAGCTGAGAGAGATAGACAAGAAGGTGGTTTCAAGATTATTGCCTGCCTCCATGCTTCCCTCCCTCTGTGTTCTCAGTTGCCTAGGGAGGCTTCTGGATCTTTCTGGAGGCAAAAAGTAAAATATGTGTGTGACTGCTAGTGATGTCAGAATTGGTCTTTATCTTGGAATGACTATTGCAGGACTCTACTCTCTATCTGATCCGACCTGAGAAGATTGACCCCTGTGTAACTCTTAGATCCCTCCTGACCGGCAGGGATCTGAAGTGGATGCAGGTTAACTATTTCTACTCAACCACACTGCCAATCTGCCACCTGTTCAGAAGAAGCAAATGGGCTACTGTGAGGTTGATGAAGCCCCAGATCCAGGTGAAACTGAGTGTGATAGCTACTGTTCTGTAGGGCAGAGTCTTGTTATCTTTTCAGTTAGGACAGCCAACCAGGTGCTCTTTCTGGCAATGGCAGATACATAAATTACAGCCGTGCTAGCATCCTCCATTTCTCTCTAATGCTTAACATGTGACACTTCCAATTTCAAAGGGCTGAAGGCCTTTAGTGGGTGAGTAAACAAAGTTACTTTACCCCTTCGTGTCTCAGTTTTCTGTCTTTCAGCTAAGGCTAAATAAAAGAACATATTTCCTAAGGTCTGTGTGAGTGTGTGTTTGTATGTGTGCGGGTGGTGTATGTGTATGGGTGATGTATGTCCATGTGCATATGGTGTGCCAGTGTGCTCACTTGTGCATATGGAGGCCAGAATTTGATGTTAGAATGGTTTTCTCAATAGTTTCTCCACTTTGTCATTGAACTTCGACCCAATTGTTTGGCTAGACTGGCTGGCTAGTGAGGCCCCAGGATCTCCCTGTCTCTGCCCTATAACACTGAACTACAGATGCTTGTTGTCTTTCCTGCTTTTATGGGGATGCTGGGCATTGCTGGGGATATGAACTCGTGCCCCTAAGCAGTCTCCCCAGCCTACTCCTCACATTGTTTTGCTGACGGAAAGAGATAATAAAACATAGAAGAATGCCTGGTGCTCAGTGTGTGAACAATGTATAGTGCTCACGAGACTCAGACAGGCCTGTAATTACTGTTGCTTGTAGCCAAAGGTCAGGAGGAGACCCTAGGACTTTTCTTATCTTTCTTTCCATTCATCTTTCCTATGGAGATTGCATTCTAAGACTTTGGCCATGGTTGTTTTCATTTTTTCTTTCTTTGCATTTTATGTACTGGCTTCCTTGTTTGTATATCTTCTTGGTGTTTCTTCTCCTTCCCATTGTCAGGAAGCTCCTCATCCTCAAAATTTACCAACTGGAGATGCTAGGATCTGCTTTATTGGTCTTGTTTTATGTTTTGATATGGGTGTTAATGGACTTGAACTAAGTCATATTCAGTTTCTGCCTCTCAACTGCTGGAATTATAGGAACATACAACCATGCCTGGCATCTAGTCTACCTTTCTTTTCAAAATGGAATTAGTTCCCCATGGTAATGAACCTGGAAATTTCTGATAGCCATTCAGAACTAGACATTGTCTTGAAAAATCTTGAGGTACGGTTAATACTGGTCCACATTCCTGCAGAGACCAAAAACCAGAAGTGAGGAGGCTACCTGTCTTATTATTTTATTTTATTTGAGACAAATTCTTACTGTGTTGCCCGGGTTGTCCCAAAACTTTTGGATGCAAGTGATCCTCCTGCTTCAACCTCTAAAGGAGCTAGAACTACAGGAGGCAGGCACACTGCGTGCCCAGTTTCCTTTGATAGACAAACTCCAGTTTGTCACAGTCTAACTCCCTACTATCACAAACTTTGTCCAAACACATGCTTGGCTTGTACATGCAGGTATCTGAATTTTGGGTCTCAACTTGAAGATCCCTGTGGCTGTCAGATTTCTAAGGCCTTTGCCATGGATGGCTAAGACTTATCAAGTTTTGGCCCATTTTATTCTAGCCCAACTTTTTCCTTCCCTCTGGCCCACATCTTCTCTTTTCCCCCCTTCTCCTTTCCTGTCTTCCAACCCCCACTCCCAGTGTGGGGAGGGGTGGAATCCAGGGCCTCACACTCTACTATTAAGTTAAGCTTGTAATCTTCCTGGCCAAATTCAGGTAGCTTTCCTCACTCTTGGGGGTTGAGGTAGAAAGGATGCTTAAAAAAATCTTATCTTGTGCATCCTTCCTCTTCCTGAAGAGGTCCTGGTGAAGAAGCCAGATGGGAGGGTGACTATTACAACATCTGCTCAGGGGTGGTTCCCTTTTCTTCATCCTCCTTGAACTCAACTTCCTGACCCTATGTGGTCTTATGAAACCTTTGGCTCATGGATATTGACTGGTAAGAGCCCGAGGACTGAGCTGAGTTCGTAATCTTAACACACAGTAACCCATACACTTATTCTTCTCCTTTCTCACTCTTTTCCTGATTAGTCCACTTACTTACTCAGCCAAGCACCAAAGATCTCTGATGACATACCAGATCTATGTTCCTTATGAACTTAGAGAAGAAGAAGAGGAGGAGGAGGAGGAGGAGGAGGAAGAAGAAGAAAAAGAAGAAGAAGAAGAAGAAGAAGAAGAAGAAGAAGAAGAAGAAGAAGAAGAAGAAGACAACTAATCACAACAAAATGTGACCTTTGGGAAGACACTTACCTTAAGCCTCAGTTTCCCCATAGGTTTAATGACTTGGTTAGCAGTCATATTGTCACCAACTTTCTATCACCTTCATCTGCAAATTACAAACTGTGGTCTGCCAGCAGTTTAGGAACTGTAGAGAAATTTCATTGTGCTTTTGTCTGCAAAATACCAAAGTTCTCAGAAAGAGGGTTGGAGCCAAGGCATAGAGAGGAATGAAGGAAGTGCCGAGTTCCAGTGTCTCATCTGGGTGGGGGTGGGGTGGGAGTGCAGGGTCAGCAGGGGCCATCCAGATGCTGGGACCCCCCTGTGAAATATCACACCCTCTCTGCCCCATGCTTGTCCCGGTCAAACTGGATTTCAGTCTGCATAATTTGTACCAGTTAGAAGGGTTGCGAGAGGGTGAGAACAGGAGGGTGAAGACTGAGGAGGGAATAGATACCCTGAAAGTCAGGCATGAGGTGGTGGTGGTGGGGCAGAGTAAGAGTCTGGGGTGAAGGCTGGTGGCAGCTAGAGAGAGGAGGTGGGGCCAGGAGGAGCAGCAGGCTTGCAAAACACAGATAATTGTCAGCCCAGCACAGTAGGGGTCAATTTAGTCTACTTACCCAGTGGCAAGAAGAAGGAGAAAAAAAAAAAGTGGGCTGTAACTTAAAGATCTTAAGACTCACTAGAGAGGGAGGAGTTGGCCTCAGGGTGGGAGGAGGGAGTGTGGAGTTTAGGAGGAGACAGAGACTCAGGAGGGTGCAAGGAAGTGTCTTAGCTGAGCTGGGGTGGGAAGGGGAAGGTAGAAAGAAGCTGCCGGAGCAGCACATCCTGCTGGGTCTGAGCTTCCAGAGGGGCTTCTTCTGCATGCCGGGAAGGGCGCCCTCAGACCTTCTCTTACTCAGGGCGCTAGCTGAGTTGGTGATATAGCTCTGGAGCTGGTGTCCCTGGGACTCACCGCCTACCTTCACTCCATTCACCAGTATGGAAGATGATAGTTACAACTACTATGGGGCCGACAACCAGTCTGAATGTGAGTACGAAGACTGGAAGTCTTCTGGAGCTCTCATCCCTGCCATCTACATTCTGGTCTTCCTTCTAGGCACCACCGGCAATGGCCTGGTGCTCTGGACCGTGTTTCGGAGCAGCCGGGAAAAGAGACGCTCCGCTGACATCTTCATTGCCAGCCTGGCAGTGGCCGACCTGACCTTTGTGGTGACTTTGCCACTGTGGGCCACCTATACCTACCGGGAGTTTGACTGGCCCTTTGGAACCTTCTCTTGCAAGCTCAGCAGCTACCTCATCTTTGTCAACATGTATGCCAGTGTCTTTTGCCTCACCGGCCTCAGCTTCGACCGATACCTGGCTATTGTCAGGCCAGTGGCCAATGCTCGACTTAGGCTGAGGGTCAACGGGGTTGTGGCCACAGCGGTCCTGTGGGTGCTGGCTGCCCTTCTGGCTGTGCCTGTAATGGTGTTCCGTTCCACTGCTAACACAGAAAACAGCACCAAGGTCCAGTGCTACATGGACTACTCCATGGTGGCTACCTCAAACTCAGAGTGGGCCTGGGAGGTGGGCCTTGGGGTGTCATCCACTGCTGTAGGCTTTGTGGTGCCCTTCACCATCATGCTGACATGTTACTTCTTCATTGCCCAAACCATCGCTGGCCATTTCCGTAAGGAGCGCATTGAGGGCCTGCGGAAGCGGCGCCGGCTGCTCAGCATCATCGTGGTATTGGTGGTGACTTTCGCCCTGTGCTGGATGCCTTACCACCTGGTGAAGACGCTCTACATGCTGGGGAATTTGCTGCACTGGCCCTGTGACTTTGACAGCTTCCTCATGAATGTCTTTCCCTATTGCACCTGCATCAGCTACGTCAACAGCTGCCTCAACCCCTTCCTCTACGCCTTTTTCGACCCCCGATTTCGACAAGCCTGCACCTCCATGCTGTGCTGTGATCAGAGCAGGTGCAAAGGCACCCCTCACAGCAGCAGCGGGGAGAAGTCAGCCAGCTATTCTTCTGGGCACAGCCAGGGCCCTGGCCCCAACATGGGAAAGGGAGGAGAGCAGATGCATGAGAAATCCATTCCCTATAGTCAAGAGACTCTTGTGGACTAGGGCTTGGACCAAAGAGAAGCCTGGTGCTTTGGGTCTGACCCAAACTTTACCCTTGCGCTCTGAGAACCAGATAGCATGGCTGCATTTTCTCCCTGACCCCTGGCTCCTTTAGCTGTTCCCTGCCTCCAAGCTCTGACTTGCCCTCCACTTCCCAGAGGTTTGTGGTTCAGTGGGAAGAGATGGAGCCTTGCAAACAGACCTGTGCTCAGCTATTCAATATCCTCGAGGCTGACCTCGCACAAGTCTCCTATCCTCTCCAAGCCTCAGTTTCTCTGCATTAAATGGGAGAATGTTTTATGGACCCTAAAATGTTGAAGATGATTCCTGACTTAATTTGCTTCCTTCTACTCTTTCTACCCCCTCCCCTCTTTTCCTTTTTTGTTTTCTCTGCTGCAGAAATTTTTACTGTCAATTACTCTCATTCTAGATCTCGTTGTCTTCTAGTGGATTCCTAAGCCTGGGCTCCTAAGGGTTAAGAATGCTGAAGCTTGAAGGATAACCCTGAGTTCTTCTCCTGTTTTCCGAGAGCCAGCAGGGCAGGGTGGGCTGTGTGTGTAGGCAAAGAATTAGTGCTTCAGTCCCCAGAGCCAGGAGCTCTGGGTCTTTCCAAAAGTTGGATTAGTTCACTGTTGGTCCAGACACCAGGGCTAGACTGAGTTTTGAATAGAGATTTCTCTTTGGCAGAATCTCCGTGTTGCTTAGTAGATAATGTATCCTACCAATAACCCATTGCCCTCTTCTGCTTGTTTATAATTGTGAGAATTACAAGGTAACAGGGCTGAGGAAGCTGTGGACCATCCCGTTCCTATGAAGGTGCAGTTGGGAAGGGAAACCAGAGAAAGAGGGGTTAGAGGGGAATCTGTATTTAGTCTGTATGCTGCTTGGCTCCCCTCCCCCGATCCTCATTGTCTCCCTCCTACAGAACTGTGAAATGTAGAGCAGTTCTTTCTCTAGTCCTGTCACTCATCCCACCATCTCCCGGATATTTTCTGTAGGTGTTGGTGCTACTTGACACCAAGAGTCACTTGTTTGGGTAAGACTGTTTGCTTTTTGTCTATGTGGGTATATATAAATGCATGCACATGCACATGCGTGCGTGCGCATACACATATGTAATATGAACTTCATGGATGAAGGAACTTTGCAACTCTGCAGGTCTCACAGTCCACTTGGGTAAGAATGGACCTATGGAGAAATGTAGAATAGATGAGTCCACCCCCCACTGGACTTGGGGAACTCTGACGGCTGGTCCGTATTTAGGAAAGAAGTATATGTTTGTGCTAGGCTTTCTGTAGGGAGCTGCTTCCTCAGTAGCATCTGTGAGCTGGGCCCCAGTTTCTCTTCCAGTTCCATAGTAGAACTGGAAGACATAGCTTATAGAATGGCCCTTCTCCTGTGTCCTATACCTGATTTCCTCACCACTCTTACTTTCTTCAGGGTCTGTGGTCCTCTTCCTGAGGAGGACACTGTCTTGCCACAGGATGAAAGATGTAGGGTGAATGTTTGTTCTCCTCCCCAACAGGACTGATCCTCTTGGCTTATCTTGCAGTTGGGGGGTGGGGGGTGGGGAAAGAGTGACTGGAACAGCTGTGGGGATCTCAAGGACAAAATTAATAGTGGGCCTTTGTAAGCTGTAAATGGGTGTGCACATTCCGGGTTTTGTTCTTGGAGGGCTCTGGGAACCAAGGACAAGACACATGCCACAGAAACAGGAAGAGCCTGGCTTGATGAGGTTGGACCATCTCTGGCACAAATCCTGCTCCTGAAGCAGAAAAGGAGTTGCTGTGTGTGTGTGTGTGTGTGTGTGTGTGTGTGTGTGTGTGTGCAGCTCCTCTCAGCTGAGTCTCTGTATGCCTCAGGCCAGAAACTTTCACACATCTACTTTCTCTGCCCAGGGCCACCCTCAAAGCCGCCAGTACAGGCTGCAGGAGGCTTCTAGGAGGCAGGAAACTCATCCATGGCATGGGACAGATAGCAGCAGTACAGGCTGCCTCTTCTCCCCACCCCCACCCCCTTCAGAATGTTCTCTATTCTGATCCTGTTAGTCACCTTGGTTCACCAAATAAAACTGTTTTGTGTAGCTGCTGTGTCCAAAGCCTCCTCATTTGAAAGTGCCTTGAGAGAGGCACAAGAACCCTCATTTGTGAATATTTCAGTAGAGGTGAGAGGGCACATTTCGAGGTGGGGATCAGTGGGAGCCAAAGAGGGAGAATGGATGGGAACCTGGAATGGGGGCTGGGAGGAGAAGGAGAAACAGGCACCAAGAAAGTGAAAAGATGGGGGCTGGGAAGGGAAAGGGTATAGCTAAGCCTCATGCTCTAAAAGCCACAGAACAAATGGCCACACAATTTGGAGACCAGAGCACAGGTATATCAGGGGGAAAAATAACAGCAACTACCTACTCTTTCTGTCCATCTACTCTTTCATCCCTCTCTACCTCCATTTACTGTCTCCTACTGACTTACTAATTCATCTCTAATAATTTGTTATCACTTGCTGATTGATTCATTCACTACCACTGGTTTAATTCAGACATTTGAAGCTCTGTTCTCCAATTGGTGATGATTTTTTAAAATGGCCATTTCTGGATGTCACTTCAGACTCATGGAGTCACAATCTCTTGCACCTATTCTAGGTGTTTACAGATACTAAAAACAGCCCAAGTGGTTTCTGCAGGAAGGTCAGGTCCTAGGAATACCTCATCCAGATAAAGTATTCCTGAATTAAGGCAGACACACAGACAAGACAGTTGAGACCAATAAAACTGGGCTCTGGATGGCCATATATTAAGAGGAGGAAGAGGCTGGAGTGAACTTTGTGGGGGAAAACATTAGGTTTCGATGTTCTTCAAAGGTGGCCTTACTGGGGTCAATAATTTCACACGTGACACAAAAACAGTCATGAGAGAGACTATATTAGCAAGGAGCTCATATGTGTTAAGAATTTTCGGGCTGGAGAGATGGCTCAGAGGTTAAGAGCACTGACTGCTCTTCCAGAGGTCAGAGGTCCTGAGTTCAAGTCCCAGCATCCACATAGTGGCTCACAACCATTCGTTATGAGATCTGGTGCCCTCTTCTGGTGTGCAGATACATAATAAATAAATAAAATCTAAAAAAAAAAAAGAAAGAAAAAAAGAATTTTCCAGGCATTATGGAATTTAATCCTTGCAACCTTCCTCTGAGAGGGGCATTTGTGCCTCACTTTGCTGATAAGAAATCTGAGACACAGATATTATCAATATCTCCCAACCTCGGTCGCATAACTAGTATGAGGAAAAGCCAGGCCTAGAGGCGTGAATCTAACTCCAAAGCCTGCATTCTTGACCATGGAATACTGCTGTTTCCCCAAAGTACAGATGAGGCAGCACCAGATGGTCGTGAAGGAAAATGTAATCTCATCTGTGAGATGCCAGGCACACATGGAAACCAGGCAGGATAGGAACTGCCAGGGAATGGTGAAGATGCAGGAGAGAGAGACAGATGGGCGAGACAGAGGAACAGACGAGATGGGATATGTGAAAGAGATGGTAACAGAGACAGAACAAGGAGAGAACATATGAGAGAGGGAGAGGGAGAGAGAGAGAGAGAGAGAGAGAGAGAGAGAGAGAGGGAGAGAGAGAGAGAGAGAGAGAGAGAGAGAGAGAGAGAGAGAGAGAGAGAGAAGAGGGACAGGGAGCACAAGGAGAGGGGACCATGAGAAAGTAGGGGCACAAAGAGGACAAAGTATCCACTTTTCTTCTTAAAAAGTAAAATCCATCAGGAGTTTATGACTATATCAAGGAGCTGAGTTTTTCTTTTCTTTTAATATGGGTGCTGTTAAAAGTGAAACTTGAATTAAGTTGTCCAGAACATGATATAATTATAGAGCACTCAATAATAGTTTAACTGTTCACACACACCTTACTTTGTTTACATACGGTGCACTGTGCTGGATAGGATTAGTGAGCAGACTGCTGGGGCTCACAGGTTACTGGTGGAGACAGTGTAGTGAGTGATGACAGCAAGAGAGTCAACTCTGCGAGATGGAAGGCACACAGTGTATGGAGAGCTTATCATGGAGGCTTCAGAATGAGTCTCAGCAGGGCAGCAGAGGAGATGTCAGAGCACCCCAGGAATCTGCCTTTTGGAGCGTGGTTGGTGAGCTGTTAATGGTGGAATGCTTGGGCAGAAGAAATTCCCAGGGATAATGCAGAGCACAGACCCTCTGAGAAAGTTGGAAAGACCCTGCATCCTTACTTCATACATTACCATTCCAAGTCGGAGAAGTGGGCTGGCCAGCCACAGAGAAAAACTTGTCTGAATTTCAAAGCATGGATGCAAGGATAATTGGGAGTCTTTAATGAATTGAGCATGGGGACAGACTCTTACAAATTTTTTTTTGTAGGGACTCAAGGCTTTGTCTGTTCTTGCCGATGTGAGTTATCTTCTTCTAGTCATCTACCAGGGAACACTAACCAAGGGCTGAGGAATTCTAGACCCTCTTACACTGGGCTTGTTGGAAAGGCATACAGTGCCTTTGGCAAAAACCTAACCTCCAGAAGCCAGGGTGAAATCTAGGATGGAGATGTAGCTGAGGCACACCCACCATCTAGTTGGCTGCTCCGTCTATGCTTTAGTGAGTTGGCAGCCTGCAGAGCTTGATCCAGAGGGTGTAGCTTTTCAAAAAAGAAAAAAAAAAGCATTTGAAATACTGGGTAGACTCGAGAGCTTTCCATTTAAAGTGCTACAATGTTAGAGCCTAGCTAGGTGTGCTGGTACATACCTTTTATTCCATCACCCGGGAGGAAGAGGCAAGTGGATTTCTTTCTGTGAACTCAAGGCCATTCTAGTCTACATGAATAGTGAGTTCTAGGCCATCCCAGGGCTATATAGTGAGATCTGTCTTAAAGAGAGAAAAAGTTATTACAGTCTATACGTGTGTGTGTGTGTGTGTGTGTGTGTGTGTGTGTGTGTGTGTGTGTGTGCCTATATTTCCATTCTGTGTGGCCATAGTAAAATACTGTAAGTTGATGAATGTGTAAAGGAAATAGGTTTAGATCATGGTTCTGGAGGTCCAAGAGCATGATGCTAGTAATTGTTTGTCTCATTGTGAATTGTCTCATCAGTTCGTGGTGGAGATGGAGAAGTGGAAGGGGATATGGTCGAAGTACACTTGCTCTAACAAGCCACTCTCCCTCCCAGTAACTAATCCAATCCTATAAGATCAAAGCTACTCCCAGAAGACTTAGTCCAGTCCCAGGGGATCATCCCTAGTCTCTCGAAAAGTCACTAACCCACTCATGATGGTAGTATTCCTATGAACTTCCCAAAGACCCCATCTCCTATTGCTGCCATATTGAGTAATTAAACCTTAATT